TGCTGGAAAGTCCAAGAGCGTCTCATACGCTGCCTTTGTGCAGAAGAATGCAAATTATCTGCCAGTATTTTCTGATAACATGATCCATTCATCTTGCCATTAATTTTCCCCATTCCTATAGAGCTCACCCCCCCCCCCCAGAACATCAGTGACCCACCACCATGTTTCACAGTAGGGATGGTATTCTTTTCACTATAGGTGTTGTTGACTCCTCTCCAAACACTGCACTTATGGTTGTTACCATAAAGCTCTATTTTGGTCCCGTCACTCCAAATTACAGTGTGCCAGATGTGTGTCAAGGTGTTGTCGGGCATATTGTAACCAGGCTTTTTTGTGGCATTGGCGCAGTAAAGGCTTCCTTCTGGCAACTTGACCATGCAGATCATGTTTGTTCAAGTATCGTCGTATTGTATTCCTTGAAACAACCACACCATCTTTTTCCAGAGCAGTCTGTATTTCTCCTGAGGGTACCTGTGGGTATTTCTTTATATCCTCTTTCTTTATATACTCTTGCGACCCATTTTTTGCTCTCCATTAGTTTAAAGGGTAATCCAGACGTGGACCCCTTGCTCACGGTGCCTAGAGAGATATCAGCTATGCCTCACTGACGATGCCTAACAAGGCTGAAACGATCGTCTGGGGTTGCTGTATCTCTCGTGCAGAGAGAACTTGCTGGCATTTTGGATCTGGACTGCCCGTATGGGTGGGACCAGTCTGATATGCTTCAGATATGTTCTCTCTGTAATGGCACAAGTTGAGCTAAAACCAGCTTGAGTTCTGAGCGGGGACCCACCGAAGGGCAGGCTATTTTAGCTGCTGTCCGTCCTCAGAATACTCTTGCGACCCATTTTTTGCTCTCCATTAGTTTAAAGGGTAATCCAGACGTGGACCCCTTGCTCACGGTGCCTAGAGAGATATCAGCTATGCCTCACTGACGATGCCTAACAAGGCTGAAACGATCGTCTGGGGTTGCTGTATCTCTCGTGCAGAGAGAACTTGCTGGCATTTTGGATCTGGACTGCCCGTATGGGTGGGACCAGTCTGATATGCTTCAGATATGTTCTCTCTGTAATGGCACAAGTTGAGCTAAAACCAGCTTGAGTTCTTAGCAGGGACCCACCGAAGGGCAGGCTATTTTAGCTGCTGTCCGTCCTCAGAATACTCTTGCGACCCATTTTTTCCTTTCTTTATATCCTGAACAATTCTTCTGGCAGTTGTGGCTGAAATCTTTCTGGTCATTTAGCTACCCATGTCAGGCAGGACCAGCATTCCCAGCCCAGGATATTATAACATGTCAGACAGCAGCAGGCAGGTACCAAATTTGTTGATAGTCAAAGTCTGGTTATTATAGTCTAAATATATTTGGAAGAGTTATATCCCTACGCTAGACCCCTCCAACTAAGTATAAAAAATTCACTGGAGTACATGGCCTGGTTCTCTTCCGAGGTGGTGGCGGGCCATAACCCATGTCTAATGTCGCCACAACCTAGCCTGATATTTCTTGATGCATTCACTATCTGATTCCTCTACAATGTCTGGTGCGGTCTTCTACGGACTCGTGATGACTTTTAGTTCTTTGTGTTGGGTGAACTTTTGTAATTTGTTATGGCATTTGTTATGGTACCCACCTGCCTGAGACTGCATTCATCTTCCGGATCCCTTGTGTGGCTCTTCCCCGGGGGACTCATCGTGGTGGGCTAGGCTGCACATGCGTTTGTTTGATTAACATTTTATGTTAGTAAAAATGTTGAGGGTATCCAAAGTGTTAGTATACAAGACTAGATTCTCGTAGTATCTTCTGACATTGTGCTTGACAAAACAATGTGACTTAGCATAACTTCCTATTACAAGCTTTTAACCTTGTCATCTATACCTGAATCTGGTCTTCTAAATCTTTCTTGTATTCAATAGACTCAATAAAAAATGCATTAAAAATAATAATATGATAGTATCCCCACCCTCTGATTTTTACCTTTCTTGGATGTTTGGAGTGGTGCAGTGTCTTGTTTGAGACTGGAAAACAAACTCTCGATATTTTTCATGCTAACATCAAAGCCTTTTTATGCTGGGTCTATTGATCTGTTGAGTTTGCTTATATGATGTCACCATGATGTGTGTGGTTATATGTTCTGGGCTCCAATGCTCAGACATGTAATAGTTTAAACCTCTGAATGGCAGCCCTGTCTCCAAATTTCAAATTTTAAAGGACATCTAACTATCACAATTGTATTTATAGGTTAAATTATAGACTTATGTAAAGTTTCGAACCAGACTTCTTCTCTCGACTGCATGGGTCAGCATTTTCTAATGCCATGTTGACTAATTAGCAAGATTAGCACACTTTAATTTGAGAAAATTATATGAAAAAATCTGATACAGCATTTGATTACTAAACAAGTTTTGGAGGAAGCAATAAGTCACATCAGCTGCCCCGAATTGTAACTCTCCGGATACTTAAACAATATACTGGCTGGTTTATCATCCAGGGAATCACAGCAGATGGCACTTTGGGTTCTAGACATTTCTTAACGTTGCTCAGGTCTATTTGAGTTAATTTGTACCTGACCTATATTAATAAAACTTCACATGTGCAGAAAATCCGGTGCTCTCAGCTCGAGCTGATTATTAGTCTTTAAGTGCTGGAGGACAAATTGGTTTTACACTTAAGAGCCCATTTGGATAGAGACCAGTTGTTCCTTTTCCAAAACCATGTGCTATAACTTACACACCAGAGGTTGTAAGACCTTAAATAAACCCATTAGCATATTTATTACTTTTAATTACAGTTTTTAAGGTTAGAACAGAACAAAGGTTGCCAAAAGTACATTTCTCTCTTGGCAAAGATTTCCAGGATTGCCTGATGAAAAAAAAATATATTTTCTCCTACACATGAGGAATATATCTCAGTCTTAATATATTTTTCTTGATGAGGTTTTGTGACCTGGGTACCACTATACAAATAAATGGTAATTTGAACAAGTGACTTTTTAGAATGTGAGATCTCTCCCCCCTCACTGGATAATAAGCTGTAATTCCATAGGAGGGTACAGTAAAAGTTCACCTATCTCTCACAAAATGCACGGATAACTGTTTAGTCACTAAACTGAAAATTGTGAGGATATTAAAAACAAATTGCAAAATTTAGGCCAATATTTGAGTGAAATCTCAATAGTTACGACTTATTTATTTTAGCCTACATAAAGCGATGCAAAATCCAAAATATTTGGTATTAAATAAGTCTTATTTAGTTAAGTATTAAGCATTTATCTATATCAGACGTGCCTAAAAGGTAAAAACCCAGATTTTGTAGAAATACAACTCCCATGTTGAAGTTTTAAAATATCTGGGGATATATATTTTGGGCACCCCTGATCTATATTTTGTGTTTCCAAATGTAGCTGTACGTTCCTTACGGAATGTTTGCTTCTACTTGGAAGGTATATGTAGTGCATGATTTTCCGCTTCCACGGATTTCTATGTTGGGAAAAGCACAGGGAAGAGTGGACACAATGGGAAGTTTGTATATACTAGAAATGCACAGGCAGGTGTGCACATACTGGAACTGGCTATAGAAGTGTGTACTTACTGGAAATGCACAGGGTACTGTCCATTACAGGTAATGCACAGAAAAGTGAAAAAGTACAGGGAGATGGCATGTACTTTAATATCATATTTTGATTTAGTCAATACATTATTCTGGTGAAGCAGTAGTGTAAGCTAAATCTCGATCTTAAGCCAAATCCCTTATTTTCTATATGGACGTAAGCCATTTGGTGAGCAAAAAGCTTGCACTCAGTTTTATTACAGAAAGAAAAATTGCATTGTGTCACATTTGTAATAGAGATATATTTTAAATAGGGATATAATTCTTTTCTAAAATTGCCAGATACAAACGCTTGGAATTTTATTATGTGTTCTGGTATGTTAAGGGGGGAGCAGATATAATTGTAAATATTTCCATATGTCCAGGCCCACCTGATTTCATGGTGCAATAGTCTTCTCTCCTCCCTCCCCCCACCCCCATTAGGTCTCAATTGCCATTTGGGTTAACTAATTTTCTGGTTAAAGATAACAATCATGAAAATCAAGTAGTGGCATTATTACTAGATACATTTCTTTTTATTTTGGGTCTTATTTTTTATATTCTTTATTTTAATTGCGCATATAAAGTTACAAAACATGGGTGTTGTTTGCCACCCTTGTATAACAGTTAACAATTCTAAATATGCAGGCAACAAAGTCTGCACATTTTTACATTTATCACAGTTGTACAACAAAGTAGGGTAACAGTAATTGGTTTGAGGGAATTTCGTCTCAAAGCGGACAATATAGTTTGTTCTATTGAGTTCAATATAACTTCAAGCGTGATATAGTTTGCAGCTTATAGTAATGGGGGAACAACAGGGGAAGGGTAGGAACAGTGCAGGTATTAGGGTGGTCTTGTGTAGCTGGTGGTTTAGACGGTGATTAAGTGGCTCTATTGCCTAGATAAGTCAGCCAAGGTTGCCATGTTAAGGTGTAGGTGGAGTATTTGTTTGAGTATGATGCGTCTAGTTCTTCCATGGTCCTTATGAATTCTACCTTTTGTATCCACTCCCGTACTGACGGGGCCCTGGTGCTTTTCCATTTCAACGGTATCAACATATTTGCTGCTGTCAGCAAATGGTTGACTAGTTTGCGTTGGAGGTTTGGAATGTGGGTTGTGTGTACAAGGAAGAGGAAGGTTTCAGGTGATTGTGGTAGTTGATGGCCTGTTATAGCCTTGATTAGCCCTCCCAACCTCTGCCAATAAGTTTGGATGGTCGGGCATAGCCACCAGATATGAGCTGTAGTTCCTTTGGGTTGCCCACACCTCCAACATGTATCTGGCGCTGTTGGAAAAATAGCATGTATCTTAGCAGGTGAGTAGTGCCATCTAGAGATTCTTTTATATGTGCTTTCCCTTACTGCGGTGCTAATGGATGTGGTATGGGCGTATATGAATATTTTGTGCCATGTACCCATTGGAATGGTGATCCCCAGCTCAGTTTCCCATGACGCTGTGAATGGGGGAGGGGGGGTGAGATTGATGGTGTTAAGGAGTTTGTAGAATATAGATAAGTGCTTGATTTGTAGGCTGTGTGTAGTACAGTAGGTTTCATATTTGGTGTGTGCTCTTGTTCCTCGAAGAAGGTGTGATTCCCCCTTCAGGAAGTGTGACAGTTGGGCGTATTGGAAATATTGCTGGGAAGTTGGGTGGTCTGTGGATGTTAAGACAGACAGCGGAGCTATCCCCTTTGGTGTGATGACCGTGCTGACCATCGGGTATCTTGTTTTTTGAGTCAGTGGGAACTGATGGAAGAACTGGGGGCGTAAGCCCGGTAAAAAGTTGGGGTTGTGTGCTAGAGGGTAGAAGGGTGAGGGATGTGGTGAGACGTCAGTTTGGTGTCTAATGCGTGACCATATACGTAGTGTGGGCATGATCGTTGGGTGATGAGCGTGTTGTGGCCGGAGGAGAGAACGACCCTCGTCGTGCCATGGGATCGTATATAGAGGGGATTGGAACATGGAGCTCTCTATGTGTACCCATTGTTTGAGTGGGTGTATTGCATTCCATTCGTATATCCTAGTCAGTATGACCGCCTGGTAGTAGCGTTCAATGTGGGGTAGTCCTAACCCTCCCTGTTCTCTATGTCTGGTCAGAACCGAATATGCTATCCTCGGGCGTTTGTTCGCCCAGATGAAGGTCGTGAAGATTCGTTTGAGTTTAGTGAAGAAGGAGGGGGGATTGTGATGGGGAGTGTTTGTAGGAGGTACAGCACTTTAGGTAGCGTGTTCATCTTCAATATGTTGATCCTACATAACCAGCTGAAAACCGGTCTCTGCCAGTCCCCTATATCTTTCGATATTGCCGTTAGTAGTGGTGTAAAATTTAGGTCATATGTGTGTTTTAAGTGTCTGGGCAGGTGGACCCCTAAATAGGTGATGGACTTCTCGGCCCAAGTGAAGGGATATACGGCTTTAAGTTCAGTTTGTGTGCGTCTGTCCATTCGGAGGGGTAAAATTTAGCTTTTTGTGTAGTTGACCTTAAAGTTGGATAGTTCTGCATATGCCTCCAGTTCTGCAAGCAGGGGTGGTAGGGAAGTGAGTGGGTCCATGACGGAGAATAGTAGATCATCTGCAAATGCAGAGACCTTAAACTCCTGTGGGTGGACAGTGAATCCGTGAATGTCGTCGTTGTCTCTTATTCCCTGCAAAAAGGGTTCTAAAGAGAGGATAAAGAGTAAGGGGGAGAGAGGGCACCCCTGTCTCGTGCCGTTGCTAATGTGTACTGGGTTTGATAATTGGCCGTTTATTCTCAATTTCGCCGTTGGGGTAGAGTATATGGCTCCCATCCATTTCATCCAATTTGGGCCAAAGCCTAAGGCTTGGAGTGTGGCTGTCAGCATTTTCCAGTCTACTCTATCAAACGCCTTTTCTGCGTCTATGGATAGAAGTAGGCTCTGTCTTTGAGTGACATGGGAGAGGTGTATGAGATTTAATAGTTTAGTTGTATTGTGTTTGGCCTCACGCTTAGGGACGAAGCCAGATTGGTCTTGGTGTATTAAGGTGTGTAGGATCGGTTGAAGTCGCGTGGCTAGAATTTTTGTGCATATCTTTAGGTCTACATTGATGAGCGATATTGGGCGGTAACTACCGCATTCAGTGGGGTCTTTACCCGGTTTCGGCAACAGTGTGATGTGTGCTTCTAGTGCCGATGCTGGGAGTGGGAGCGGGTCTGTGAGAGCGTTAAATGCCCTCAGGTATGGTTTCGTCAGAAGTGTGGCAAAGTGTTTATAGTATTTGGCCGTGAGGCCATCGGGACCTGGGCTTTTGCCCAACGGTGTTGATTTGATCGCACATTTTAATTCGTCCTGGGTAATAGGCATGTCTATGGAGCGAGCTACGTCTGCAGGGATTGTGTTTTTGAGCCTAGAGGAAAGAAAACTTTCTATGTCGGTTGTGGAGGGGGGCGAGTTTCTGAGGTTGTACAGTTTGGTGTAAAATTGTTGAAAGGCTTCCATGATATCTGGAAGGGTGTGGGATATTATGCCTGTCTGTGTCTTGATTTTGGAAATGTATGCATTTTGTCTGGATTGACGCAGGGCATTGGCAAGCAATTTGCCGCATTTGCCTCCCCTCGCGTAGTAGTAGTGTTTGGTGTTTAATAGTTTTTTCTTGGCTTGGCGTTGCAGTAATTGTGTCAGTTCTGCGCGTTTGGTTATGAGAGTGTTATACGTCAGGAGGGAGCTATCCCTGGTGTGAGTATGTTCCAGGGTCCTAATTTCCCGTGTGAGTGCATCGATTCTTTGTGTCCTCTGTTTTTTAAGGGTAGCCATAATTGCCAGAAATTCTCCCCGTATGACACACTTGTGTGCCTCCCAGGTTATGATGGGGGAAATGGATGGGAGCGTGTTTTCTTGGAAGTAGTTAGCGAGAGTGGTTTCCACTCGCGATGTAATGGCGGGGTCATTGAGTAGGAAATCATTAAGTTTCCAATGAAAAGATGTTAGCGGGAGTGTAGGGATTTGTACGACAAGAGACAGGGGTGCGTGATCCGACCAGGTGATCGGGCCGTAGGTGCAGGAGGTGGCCAGGTGTAGGTAGTCCTGGGGAAGAAATAGCATGTCCAGCCTAGAGTATGTGCCCGAAGCTGTAGAGTAGAAGGAGTAGTCTCTAGTTTGAGGGTGCATGGTTCTCCAACAGTCATGTAGCCTAGCCTGATCGAGAAGGTGTGATACCTGCTTCCTTGTAGTGGTCTGGTAGTGTGTGGATTGGGAAGTCGTGTCAAGGGCAGAGTCTAAGGACATGTTTAGGTCACCACCCAGGATTAGCATGCCTTCCATGAAGGATTCAATTATGCGGAGGTGTTTCTTAAGCGCCTTACCCTGGTGTCTATTGGGCAGGTATATGTTAGCAAAGGTAAGCATGTTTTGACCTATCTGGCCTTTCACCAGGATCAGCCTGCCCCCATCGTCCGTTTTGTGGTCTTTGTATGTGAAGGGGGTGTGTGCGGCAAATAGTATGGCCACCCCCCTGGCCTTGGTATCACTGTAGTTGCTGAAAAAACCTGTGGGGTATGCCCTGTTTTTGAGAGTAGGGGCTATGCCTTTTTTAAAGTGGGTCTCTTGTATAAAGACCACATCTGCTCTGAGTTTATGCATTTCCGTGAGAGTCATGGATCGCTTCTCAGGGGTATTGAGGCCTTTCACATTGAGGGTGACTATCTTTAGAGTGGCCACCGGGTCTGAGTGTGTGTGTGGCCCTTGCGGAGGGTCCGTCTTGCTCATTGTGGGGTGGAAGGGATGGGGGGGTTGGGCCGGTTGTGAAATTAAGGGAGTAACACGGGAGAAGGGAAAAAATATACAAACACAGTAAACAACTTATATACAAACAGATATTCAATAAGTAAATTGAATTTATAATTATCCCCCTAGGCTGTGGGAAGGCGCAGGTCTAGCCAGTCGCCCGTCGGCAGCCTGAGGGAAGAACCTCTGGTGTCGGACCCAAGGTGGGATTTTGCCACTTGGGTGCTTCTGTGACACCGTGGTGTAGGTCGTGTCGACCTAATACGATAGGAGTTATCAAGTATGCATATGATAGTAATTAAACAGTGAGGGAGAGAGGCGGGGGTGGTCTTAGGTAGTTGACGTCAACCAAAAGCTCTCTTGTTGGAGCAGAAGGAGAATTGGTTTACAGTCAATCACCGCCAGAACACAAATCCGCTAACATTATTTACAACACATCAAACATTCAGGCATGTGTATCAGTAATAGGATTTAAACATATTAAACTGTGCCAATGTCTATGAGCTTTTTTTTTTTTTTTTTTATATATATTTTAGTTGACGGTTGTTCTTAACCTGTGTAGTGGGCCAATAGGTGGAATTCATTTACCGTGCCACGGCTGTCCTCTGCCAACCCGGTTACCTGGTCCGCAGATTGGGGACTAGAGAAACCTTGCTGTCTGGCCTGTGACCATGTCTTCATTGGAGGTGGTTATCACTGCAAGCCGTTATATAAGGTTACTTGGCGTGGTGTTGTGTATAAAGGGTTCATTAGCGGGAGATATTAGGCTGGATAAGTCTAATAGGGGATAGTAAGTGAGGAATTGTTGCTTCCTGCTGTAGTGAGCGCGTTATTGCGATATATAAGCAGCGGACAGTGAATACAGTCACTTGAATCACGGGAGGTGTGCAGGAGGCTGGGAGGAAGCGTGCTCTTCTACAGCCTAGCATAGCAGTGTAATGAGAAAGTCCGTTTCGGCCAGTTTTGTGCGGTCGTCTGAGGCAGGTTTCAGTTAGTAGATGGTGTCTTTGAGGTTTCAAGAGGATTGTAGGTTGCTGGTCCCAGGACCTGGGCCGACAGCGGTTCATGCCGTTTGCTCCGGGCTAGAATCCAATCACTGTTGCATCGGGTCTCGGTTGTCCATTTTCTTTTTCTTGGGTGTTTGTTGCCATCTGGGTCTCTGCGGCAGCTGAGGGAGTAATGGTGTTTGCAGTGGTCCATACCAATCTTGGATGTGCGGATCTATTAAATTGAGAGTTTGGATAAAGAGAGGAATGTCTGCATGGGAGTGGATGGTGTGCTGGGCGCCTTTGTGCGTGACGCTCAGCGCAAGTGGATATCCCCACCTGTATCTTATATTTCTAGCTCTCAGTTGATCCGTAATGGGGCGCAAAATCCTTCTCGCTTGTAGTGTCAGCCAGGAGAGATCTGGATAGATTGTGATTGGAGCTTCGTGGAACAGAAGGGGTTGTGAATTTTGTTTCAGCGTGTTCAGTATGTCTTCTCTGCAGGTGTGGGAGTGGAGTCTGCAGATGACGTCTCTGGGTTTGTCTGTCGCTATACCTATGGGTTTCAACGCTCTGTGTGCTCTGTCTAGGAGAATATGGCTGTCTCCTGGTTTTCCTAATATAAGGTTGAAGAGTTCATTTAGGGTTGCATAAATATCTTCCTGCTCACATTCTGGGAGACCCCGAATCCGCAAGTTGTTGCGGCGCCCCCTATTGTCCAGATCATCTATAGACCTATGGAGCATGGATAGGTAAGCATTTTGGTGTTCCACTGTTGCCTGTAGGGAGCTCAATTGTGTTTGTATGGCGTCCCTGTCATCTTCTAGAATGACCACCCGGTCAGAGACCTGGCGGATCTCTGAACTAAAGGAGTCCATCTTGGCCTGGACTGAGGCTTCCAGCCGGGTCAGCATACCTGCAATATCCTGCTTGGAGGGTAAGTTCCTCAGGATCTCCTTCAGGTCCCCTTCTGTTGGAGGGCCCGAGTTGTATGAGTCCGCCGGGCTGGAGGGAGACATGCATAAAGGCGGGGAGTCAGCCGCCATGTTGGGGCCTAGCAGGCCGGTGTTACTGTCCGCCCGGTCGCGGAAATATTTGGTAAGCGCTCCCGATTTCCCCGACGGGGTTTTGCTGGGGGCTTGTTGGG